TTTATTAGAAAAAAAACTCCGTTTATTTCGTTGCATTCCCGATGATCATTATCGTACACCACCATACATTTATCGTGAATTTCATGTCGCAAAAAAAACCGATGTTGTAGAACTTCAATGTCTAGAAAAAAATTGCGATCATCGCCAGTGTCGTGAAATAAATTATTTAGTACGTTTTAGTTGTCCCTAGTTCGGGCCCAGGGGCGGCGAAACCGGGGTAACACTCCACCCTCCTGCGGACATAAATGTGCCCCCCCTTGAGCATAAAATGTGCCGGCCCCCTCGAGATAAAAACAAAACTGGCTCTAAAATTTTGGATAATTTGTTTTCCCAAAATGGTATAGCCTGAGAGTTCTGATATGAGCGGGGAATATCAAAACCCGAGCCCTAAAACCTCTACAATGGGCCTTGAAATGGGCACATTATAAATTTCAACCGGAAATACGTCAAGCACCAAGCATTGGCATTTTCAAGTCAGAATTTCTGTCTCTTAACATAGATGACGTCATCAGGGGCCCCACTTTGTTGGGGAATGGATAGGTCGATACACAATTTGGTTGAGGACTGTGTTTACTGTGACTGTTTATTCCACAACAATATTTTAATACACATTGATTGATTGAACTACGGTTACAGTGAACTGAGACAAAGAGAACTGGGTGAGCTGAAATAGACTAGAATAGAAATGGAACAGAGTTGGAATTGTGGAGCAGCACTTATATACTGGTGGAAACATGAAGTCTTGAGAATAAGAAATACTTAAGAATGGGGAAACTTAGTCATATCGTGGTTTCCTTGAGTCTCAGAAAAATGACTAGGAATGAGTAATATAGTTCCTTAAAACAATGATCTTGAAAGTAACTTGGTTGTACTAAGAAACTGAGCAAAGACTTGTGTGTGGGCAGTGAAGATCATTTGCTCCGTATAAAAGTATAGGGACTACACATTGCATAGGTTCTGTGTGGGTGTATGTGTATATAAGGAAAACAATGAGCGATACATTCAAGAGAATTAATCATTAATACAGTTCAAAAGGAACATTGATAATTAAAGTGTGATATTTAACTAAAAGTTAAGACGAATTGATAATTGAGAATTGAGAATCTGAAACGCTACAACTTCATGTAAATATCTGCTCGGTCACCATGGCGTCTGCATATTACATCCCTACTGATGAGATTATGCATGCAGTATATTCCACCAGATACAGAACCAGAATAAAATGGCCGGTTTCGAAGAGCGCTCCAATTTTTGTAAACTTGGTACCAGCCCAGCCCCCCCCCCCCCCCGGGCCCCATTTGATTTTACGGAGGCCAAGTGTCCGGTGAAAAAAACATGTCGGCATCAAGTTCAGCACGGATGTGCCCCCCCCCCCAAAAAAAAGCTGGATACGCTGCTACACCAATGGAAGATGCCTTTTATTGAGCAAGTGCCCCGGTGATGCGACTGTAACCGGTTAGTCCAAAAATTCAAACCCCAAAAGTGGGTGCAGTACATTTTGTTTTCGTCCTTCACAAATGTATTTAAACAGGCAATTGTTTTCAACTCAAGTTGATCAGTATGAAACTGTGCCACCCCTCTAAGTAGGTCTCGTGACCAAAATGTAATCGCCCATCGGGATTACGCATTAGCATTCTATCCGATTCTCATTTCTAACCCAGGCTTGTGCTGAATGCACATTATGCAAATAACGTGTTTAGAAGATTTCCACTCAGACTCCAGCCCTATTGTTACATTCATGCCTCGCTGATCACCATGGTACAGCGACCTAGCGTGCACGAGCTTTATCTTAAGTTCGGTGCTGGGCTAGGCCTTCATTACTGTCGTTGTGCTCCTCACGCTCACTGCATGCAACTCACTACACTGTTCAAAATTATCATTTTGGCTCTTTATAAAATTGTTTATTCTAACTGAACGTGCACATTGTGTCCAATTTATATTAACAAAGACATCGTTACCATTTACTCCAAGATCAACACCAAGAGGGGCAATGTCTTCAAGAGTAGAAAGAGGTACGTTACATGTCTCTGATTAATGTACATGTGTATAAGGTGTATAAGCTCTGGTAAAAGTAGAGAGTTTTGTCACCTGAAACAGAGAACTCCTTTAATTTCATTGGATGTTAAAAAAAAATTTACATGGAAGATAAATTACAGTAGAATTAAGGTTGAACGAAAATGATTATTTTATTCAATAATAATGCAATGCCAATAGGAATTTATCGCGTGCAGTGACATTGTGTTCGCACGTGTGTTAATTTGCATATAGGAATTTATAAAATACGTGCAGTGACATTGTGTTCGCACGTGGGGAGAAAATAAAATTTCGAAAGAATTCGTCAGACACGTGCAGTGACTTTGTGTTCGCACGTGAGTTAATTTGCATAGGAATTTGATACGTGCAGTGACATTGCGTTCGCACGTGGAACAGTTGAAGGGTAGCATTCCAGTGGAAGGTTTTTTTTTCTTCAAATTGTCCCTGAATAATTAAACTCGCTAATTTACACCAGTATTTTCAATGATAAACCTGTGACAGTGTCTCCTTCATCGTCACATTGACTTTCAGGTCTTATGTAACTCCCTTTCTAGAGAAGGTTAAAAGACGTTCCCCACCTCAGTCTCAGAAACTAAAAATAAATTGAAACCATATAAAACCTAATCAACATTCTGGGCAAAACGTTGGTGCAAGTGATGCAAACAATTAATTAGTTTTTTTTGTAGGTCAAGTTGGGAGGAGTGCAGACGCTGCAGGCGTGCATTATGCAGCATCCGCGAAGCAAAGCAGCTGCTGGATCTGTAGGAGTGTTAGGATAATGTTATAGGCATTTAAATTCGGCGAAATATTCTCATACGCGTTTAGAAACATCCGCACCGCGTTCTATCGCTTTTCCGTTCGATAATAAGGCATATTCATACGTAATGTTCGGCAAACTCGTGTTTTTTTAATTTTTTGTTTTGGCTAGACCGGAGACGGTTTGGTACGAAGACCGTGAAGGGACATGGGAGTTATTTAGTTTTTTTCATAATACTATTACGTAGGTGTTATTGTCACGTACATACGTAACTCACGCACGTACTTGAATATTATCACGTACGTAGGTAATATTATCACGTAGGGCCCACGTGATAATTATTACGTACGTAGGGCCCACGTGATAATTATTAAGTACGTATACACAACGTATACTCGTTTAAGGATACACGTATTATCACTTTAATAAATATGCAATACATGTACGTACGTAATATGTACTTATTTATCAGGTATGTACGCAAGAATAATACTAATATTGCGTTAGTACGTAATATTATATTATCACGTACGTATGTGATAAATTAAATGTATCACGAACGTACGTTGTAATTGTCATATGTATAGTAGTAGGCCCTAAATAAGAACAATATGTTCATCTCCTCTTGGTCTTCGTACCCACGTACCCGCGTATCCGCATATCCGCGTACCTGCGTAATCGCGCGATTTCGTGTACCACTGACTTCGAAGTGATAAAATCTAGGGAACTGTTTAGAACGGTGCAATGAACAGTGTTAGGGAAAATGAAGCAAACGAAAATTAGGGAGCAAGCACAGCCCGCTGCGAGCATGCGCACATTGAGCCTGCAGGAAGTGCGATGGGAAGTTTTAGAAGTTTTCTTTAAAAAATAAAAATAGGATGAAAATGCAAACGAAAATCAGTCTAATAAATAACACTGTCCCCCTAAACTTGAAAGTACTGGTGTATTTTATTTTATTTTCGCTATTAAGAAACTTCACTCGCAAATTTAAAGTCGATTTTGTAATTGATTGAGAGTAATTTGTGATTTTTTATCGATCAACTGGAATGCTGCCCTCTATACGGACATTGGCTGGTACTCTGCCCTACTCAAAACAATAATTAAACAAAATAAGTAAAACAACTACAGAAAGTGGCAATGCCTGGTGCGTTGTCCACCAACAACGATATAATTTCTTTATTGTATAAAATGTTTAAGAGCAAACAAGATTCATAAAATCTAGGCCATCGGCAATTGACAGTGACCATGCCTGGAACAGTGTCACTTGTAAGGGATGCCCTCTTCGGTGCATATTAGTCGCGCCGATTTCCAAGAGGCCCCTTCCTTCAGAAGAACTTGAACATTAAAACTTTAACCATTTAACAAAAACACGGAAGGACGTTACTAATTAAATAGCCATACAGAGAAAACTGTTGGTTAACAAGTAACACTAATTCCTAAATGAGCTCTCTGTTAAGGTGACATATACGCTCTTATAGTAACACTAAAAGGTCAAAAAATCTGGGATTAACAGCGTCTGTAAAAGCGCCGCATTGTCTATACTTCGCTAGTCTGTGAGCAGTGAGGGCACAGTTGACAGTTGACCATAATTTAATGATCGTAGTAAAATCAAAAGTCATAACTTTGGTTAATTATACTTTGCATAAATTTATATAAAAGACATTTTTATTATGTGAAGAGCTTTTAAGCTCGGTTCATTATTAAGTATTTAAAGGTAAACTTATCTGTGAGTAAAAAAATGCTTACAGAGAGAATGACTTTTGGGGGAAAAAACTCAAAAGAATATTGTATTTTGTTTCATTGTAAATGTTGTATGTTTGATTTTTTGCCTGTGTGTGTATTGCTCTCTGTGTGGTGTGATTTTTTAATGGTAGGCCTATCCGTCTGTTGTCTCTGACAATAGACAAAATTTAAAAATAATTTAAATCAAATTAATCGTTGCGGCTACGAAAATGTCAAATCGTTAAGCAAAATCGAAGCAGATGTTGAAAGAAAAAATACTTGAAATCAGTGTCATTTTTTTCTCAACTGTAATACGTCGGGCAAAAAAATGTTACGGTTTTGAAGAGGCAAACCTCAAATTGACGAAAATACGAAATCAACTTCAAAATGTTAGGCAGTATTGAAATAAATAATACCCACCCGGATATTTACTTGACTTCGCGCATGACGAAAACTGAAAACAAACTTCAAATCGGTCCAAAATAAATTGTAGCGGAAATCACATCGTAAGCGATTTTTTTTTCCGGAAAAAGAAATTACTCCGCTTTCTACGTGTAGGCCTACACGCTAGGAAAATGATGAAAATAACGCGAGGAAAACATCACAACGTTATTGAGAGTAAATATACACGAAATCAGTAAAAAAAATTCTTGCCACAAAGTAAACAAAATGGGTTATGGAAATAACAATCAAAATAACGAAAATAACGGCATAACAATTAATCATCCGCAACGAGAGAAGTAAATACATGTACATGTACTTGCCTCAAAAAGTCGGAAAGCGAATGTTGGCAAACGGTGGGAAAATGACGGCAGCAAAAGAAAATGAAATTGACGAAATTACGAGAAAAAAAATCACACCATAATGAACAAAATATCTGTTTAGAAAATGACTGAATTTCAGTTATATACAGCGGCATTTCAAAAACATCGAAATTGTTGGCATTGTCGAGAAGTGCCTTCAAAAATACCTAATTGCCCCCCCCCCCCACCACCAAAAAAAGTACATTGTGAAAGGGTACAACTTATTGGTAACCTGCCTTTATCGGTGTCGGCACATGTTCGTGTGCATTATGACAAAAAAAGATCATGTCTGTTTTTAAAAGTAAATAGTGGAAACATGGGTAGAATCGTTTAGTTTCTATTTGGTAACAAGTGGCCTTATTACAAGTAGGCTTAGACATAATGCTTTGGAATGTTTCACTTCAGTAACAAATGGGCTAGGCCCAGTGTTTTCGTAACCCTGTTCACTTAGGAAAGAGTTGCAGCTTTCTTCAAAGAAACTGATGATCTAAAAGTTGAGACTACATGGATGAGCTAGGCTGCTTTGTCTGGACGAAAATCAACCCTCCAAGGCTCCAACAGCCTCACCACACAGAAACTCGAGGAACCGGAAGCAGGGAGGAGGACCGACAGATCAACGGATGACCTGCTTGCTGGGCTACCCATTACTATTTTTTGAGGTTAGTTTACATGTTGGCCTCCTCTTCGCGGAATCAATCAAGTCACAGAACTCATCAAAATGGGCGATCTGACTCTGTTATAATGTTCTTCCACAAACAACGAGTTCTCGTAGCAGGCTTTGCTTTGTGGGGTTAATTTAATGTTTTCTTTCCCCTTTCTAGCCCTGGCACGAATACAGCTCAATATTTCAAATGTTTTCTTTTGTATCCTTTCAGAAAAATGAGGACCACTGACTGATGAGGGAATTGCTTTACTAAGATTGATGAGCCTGCCTCAAGACATCGTCATGGCTCCAACAGCCTTATCACACAAACTCGAGGAACCGGAAGCGGGGAGGAGGACCGACAGATGAACGGATGACCTGCTTGCTGGGCATCCCATTACTGACTATCAGGTTTGTGTACATGTAGCCTACCTAAACAGAAACAGTCAAGAACTAATCAAAATGGGCGATCTGGCGCTCTTCTATGTTCGTCCACAAACAACGAGTTCTGGTAGCGGGGCTTTGCTTTGTGGGGTTATTCAATGTTGTCTTTCCCCTTTCTAGCCCAGGCACAATTACAGCTCAATAAATCAAATGTTTTCTTTCGTCATTTGAATCCTTGCAGAAAAATGAGGACCACTGACTGATGAGGGAATTGCTCTACTGGGATTGATGAGCCTGCCTCAAGATATCGTCAGGGCTCCAACAGCCTCATCAAACAGAAACATGAGGAACCGGAAGCAGGGAGGAGGACCGACAGATGAACGGATGACCTGCTTGCTGGGCTTCCCATTCCTGATTATTAGGTTAGTTTACATGTAGGCCTCCCCATAACAGAAACAATTAAGTCACAGAACTAATTTAAATGGGCGATCTGACTCTGTCTAATATTATAGGTTCGTCCACAAACGAGTTCTGGTAGCAGGGCTTTGCTTTGTGGGGTTAATTCAATGTTTTCTTTCCCCTTTCGAGCCCTGGCACGAATACAGCTCAATAATTCAAATGTTTTCTTTCGTTATTTGAATCCTTTCAGCAGAGTGAGGACCACTGACTGATGAGGGAATTGCTCTACTGAGATGAGGATGAGCCTGTCTCAAGACATCGTCAGGGCTCCGACAGCCTCATCAAACAGAAACCCGAGGAACCGGAAGCAGGGAGGAGGACCGACAGATGAACGGATGACCTGCTTGCTGGGCTTCCCATTACTAATTCTTGAGGTTAGTTTTTAGTTACATGTACCGAAAGAATAAGCAGAAACAAGTAATCAAAATGGGTGAATTAGCGCTCTTCTATGTTCTCCCACAAATAAAGAGTGCTGGTAGTGGGGTATTGCTTTGTGGGGTTAATTCGAAAATTTCTTCTCCCCCCCCCCTTGCTCTACCTTTCAGATATTTCTTAATAATTCGGATATTGTCTTTCGTCATTTGAATCTTTTTACAGACATGAGGACCACTGACTGGTGAGGGAATTGCCCTATGATGGATGAGCCTGCCTCGAGCTGCCATAAGCTGGGAGGACCGACGGTTGACCGACTCTGCCTGCTTGGTTGGCCATTACCGATTCTTAAGGTATGTTTACTTGAAAAGAGACCAGGGATATGTAGGCCTACACTTAAATTTGTTATTCCTTTAATACTATGTCACCTCTTACGATGCTTGATTTCCTCTTTAAATATTAATTCTAAATTATGCTAGTTTACTCTTTTTGTCATTTTTAGAAGATGAGGACCGCCAAGCTTGGATGAGACTGGACAATTACGAAGCTGCTCTATCTGGACAAGGATGCCCTCATCAGACACTTTCCAAATTGCGGAATATTGGATCAAAAATCAGACTGCATATTATTTTGCATTATTATAAAACATAAAAACGACGAAAATACGAATTCTTACGCCAAAGTTACCGCTATAATTGGTAGAAATAATAGCTTAAATCACTGTTACTGGTTAACTTTACTGAGATACCTATTCCTGAAATATTTGACAACAAATACGACGAAAATTGAAGAAAAACAGACAAATGGGTGTATAATACATTGCAGTGAAAATCAAATCATGAGCGGATTTTCTACTTACAGAAATGCTTCTCCGCTTCCAACAAGTGGCTGAGAAAATGATGAAATTTACGCCGAAAATAACTGAAATCAGTGTTGTTTTCACCTTTATTGCGATACCTACCCGAAATAGTTGACTAAACGCGTGTGACGAAACGTGGAAACAAAAATCAAATCAGCCTTAATAAATTACAACGAAAATCACATAGTACGTGGAGTTTCTTCTCGCAGCCCGGCACTCTGTTTCTACAGGTAGCTACAGGAAAATTACGAAAATTACACCGAAAAACAACGCGGCAAATAAGTGAAGTGACGAAACATATTTTACACGGCTAAAAAAATCACAGCGTTAGTGAGAGAAATAATACTTGATATCAGTGTTATTTTTCTTACCAACAAAGTAAAAAAAATTCGATTGCGGAAGAATGAAATTAAAGAGACGAAAATTACGGTAAAAAGATTAACAGCGGCAGCGAAAGAAATTAATATTTGAAAATCGGTAATTTTCTAAACTTCTAGGCCCTATGTCGTGCAAAAATTTGCTAAGGAAAAATGACCCGCGAAATAATGTTAACAAAAAAATTCAAATTATAATCGGCAGCCACTTCCGGTACGGTACTACACTGCTTAAAATAGTCGGAAAGCGAATTTTGGTAAACGGTGGGGAAAATGACGGCAGAAAAAAAAGGTAAAAAAATGACGGAAATAAAGGAAAAACTCCATTATATCGATGTAAAGAAAATGACTGAATTTCAATTAAAGCAGCAATGTTAAAGGCATTCCCCCGAGTTCTAGGCATACACCACATCTTTTAAGTATTATTCGTCACGGAAATAACTGCAATTTGTGACATTGTCAAGAAGTTTGCCTTCAAAAAGGCCAGAAATAGCCAGGTTTTGCACGTGAAAGGGTACAACTTAAGTGTAATCAACAAAGCGATAGGGAAATGGCTGTTTAAGACATGCGACATATTTACTATCGCATGCGACATTTCTTCGTGTTTTTGTAAAGGTTTAAACTTAATCTACATCATTTATGTGAGTCCGATTTGGAATGATCGGCATAGATACATGTTTTCCTCAAGTATATATTTCTCCTTTGAGTTACTCATTTGGTTGTCTAATACAGAGAAAACTGTTGGTTAACAAGTAACACTAATTCCTAAATGAGCTCTCTGTTAAGGTGACATATACGCTCTTATAGTAACACTAAAAGGTAAAAAAATCTGGGATTAACAGCGTCAGTAAAAGCGCCGCATTGTCTATACTTCGCTAGTCTGTGAGCAGTGAGGGCACAGTTGACAGTTGACCATATTTTAATGATCGTAGTAAAATCAAAAGTCATAACTTTGGTTAATTATACTTTGCATAAATTTATATAAAAGACATTTTTATTATGTGAAGAACTTTTAAGCTCGGTTCATTATTAAGCATTTAAAGGTAAACTTATCTGTGAGTAAAAAAATGCTTACAGAGAGAATGACTTTTGGGGGAAAAAACTCAAAAGTAGATTATATTTTTATAAGATTTGAGGCTTTGCATGGTGGGGTATCGGTATCGTTTCGGTTTTGCGGTAACACCATGTGGTAATAACTACTGCTTAGAAGATATTAGTTCTGAGAAGAACTTGTCCTGCTTATTATCAACTTGCTAAGTAGTTTTTGTTCTGTTTAGAACAGATTGTATTTTGTTTCATTGTAAATGTTGTATGTTTGATTTTTTGCCTTTGTGTGCATTGCTCTCTGTGTGGTGTGATTTTTTAATGGTATCCGTCTGTTGTCTCTGACAATAGACAAAATTATTTTTTTTTTAAATCAAATTAATCGTTGCGGCTACGAAAATGTCAAATCGTTAAGCATAATCGAAGCAGATGTTGAAAGGAATAATACTTGAAATCAGTGTTATTTTTTCTCAACTGCCATACGTCGGGCAAAAAAATGTTACGGTTTTGAAGAGGCAAATCTCAAATTGACGAAAATACGAAATCAACTTTAAAATGTTAGGCAGTATTGGAATAAATAATACCCACATCGGAAATCACATCGTAAGCGAATTTTTTTTTCCGAAAAAAGAAATTACTCCGCTTTCTACGTGTAGGCCTACACGCTAGGAAAATGATGAAAACAACGCGAGGAAAACATCACAACGTTAGTGAGAATAAAAATACCCGAAATCAGTATTATTTTTCTTGCTACAAAGAAAACAAAATGGGTTATGGAAATAACAATCAAAATGAAGAAAATAACGGCATAAAAATTAATCATCCGCAACGAGAGAAGTAAATACATGTACATGTACTTGCCTCAAAAAGTCGGAAAGCGAATGTTGGCAAACGGTGGGAAAATGACGGCAGCGAAAGAAAATGAAATTGACGAAATTACGAGAAAAAAAATTACACCATAATGAACAAAATATCTGTTTAGAAAATGACTGAATTTCAGTTATATACAGCGGCATTTCAAAAACATCGATCTTGTTGGCATTGTCGAGAAGTGCCTTCAAAAAGACCTAATTGCCCCCCCCCCCCCAAAAGCACATTGTGAAAGGGTACAACTTATTGGCAACCTGCCGTTATCGGTGTCGGCACATGTTCGTGTGCATTATGACAAAAAAAGATCATGTCTGTTTTTAAAAGTAAATAGTGGAAACATGGGTAGAATCGTTTAGTTTCTATTTGGTAACAAGTGGCCTTATTACAAGTAGGCTTAGACATAATGCTTTGGAATGTTTCACTTCAGTAACAAATGGGCTAGGCCCAGTGTTTTCGTAACCCTGTTCACTTAGGAAAGAGTTGCAGCTTTCTTCAAAGAAACTGATGATCTAAAAGTTGAGACTGCATGGATGAGCTAGGCTGCTTTGTCTGGACGAAAATCAACCCTCCAAGGCTCCAACAGCCTCATCACACAGAAACTCGAGGAATCGGAAGCAGGGAGGAGGACCGACAGATGAACGGATGACCTGCTTGCTGGGCTTCCCATTACTGATTCTTGAAGTTAGTTTACATGTAGGCTTCCTCTTAGCCACAGAACTCAAAATTGGTGAATAATGCATTAATGAGCGGATTGGCTAGCCCAGCAGCAACGTGGTTAGACAGGCAAGGTGTGGACTGTTGTTGTTTTTTGGGGTAAAAATCGAAGTTTTCTTTCTCCTTGCACATATTTCTTAATATTTCAGAATTTTTTTTCGTCATTTGAATCCTTGTAGAGAAATGAGGACCACTGACTGATGAGGGAATTGTCTTGCTGAGATGAGGATGAGCCTGCCTCAAGCCATCGTAAGCTGGGAGGACCGACGATGGACTGACACCGCCTGCTGGCCTGGCCATTACTGATTCTTGAGGTGAGTTTACTTTGAAAACGAAAAAAGACCAGGGTATGAGGATTGTCCCTCCTACAAAATCCACAGGGCTTGATTTTCTAATATATGTATTTTTTTTTAATTTGCTTGCTTATTTTGTCATGTTTAGGACATGAGGACCACCAAGCTTGGACGAGCCTGGACAATGACGAAGCTGCTCTACTGGACAAGGATGCCCTCGTCGGAAACTTGAGTTAAAAAAAAAACTAGCTTGCACAATATGAAATGATAAATCATATACACTAAGGCAACAGCACTAAAATAAAATGAAAAGTAATTTTGATTTCATTAAATTATTTATGCCTCTAAAATAATCTTAAACTGGATACTGCAACAGACAGTTAACAATGGACAATAATGGAAACTTGCTGAAAAATTATTGTAAGGGTAATAATTGGTCACTGGCTTTTAAGCAGTGACATGTCTGGGAGAAGGGGTATTCCTTTGATCGGTCCTGGGTCATCCAAAATTATTGCTTCAATTAGTTAATAATTTCATACTCCTTATCTTTAATGCGTTCGATTGGATCTTCTCGGTAAATTATAAATGAGGTATCGCCTAAGGTTTTCTATCTGCTTTTTGTTCAGTTGACAATGGAGAATTTTGCTCTATAAATTTAATTTGATATTGAAAGTGCATATTTTAGAAAACCAATTTAAGTCATAAGAGTTTTGAAAGATTTCAAAAAGGATTAATTTATTGTTTAAAAACTGAAGAAATGTAACTTTATTTAAATTTAACGTCATTAACAAGACGTCAGTTTAACTAAAACGTGACTTTTTTCCATTGTATGTTTATAAGAAAACACAAGAACGTTTAATTTTTAGGAAAATTTAAAGAATAAACTGTTCAGGAACTTCTATCCATCAAAATGCATTGCAACAGGTATAAGTGACACTCAAATTACATTTGTGTTTGTCCTTTTGTGATTTATTTCATTGTACTTTTTTACTTGTTATTTTTTTAATTCGTATGCACAATTGTTTTTCTTGGTGGTTTTGCATGTCTTTTCATTTTCTTATTAATAATTAACTAACCTCACAAAAGGATAAACGCAATATATATCGAGTGTTGAACTTGCCTCGCATCAAATATTTTTTTTCACATAATAGCTTAATTAGACAAAATATAGTCCTGAAATGTTTCAAAATAATCTAGGAATTTTTTAGGAGGGGGGGGGGGGGGCATTCCCAAGTTTTATCTTCCCTTTTTAAAATCTTATTCACGAAATGGCGAAATACAAAAACCGGGCTTTACCGTGTACAGTCATGTAGTCGTTGCTTATGTAATAATCTATGATAGTATAAAGTGATTATTAATTTCTCAAATTTATTGGCCTTCTGCCTAACTTTTTTCCTCATTTGGAATCGTTTGTATTTGTTTATATGAATTGGTTTAAATATTTGTATGTCAATAAGACTAAGGAATTAAACAATAAATAAAACTTGAAAGATGTGAGACACTTGATATCCATGGAAGGTTGTTAGTATTTTGCCTATTTTTGTTTTAGTTGTTGGCGGGGGAGGTCAAGCTACTACAAAAGTAACAAAACCCGGCTGAAATGACGTTTTATTATTTATGGGCGATGGGGGGGGGGGGGCGGGGTGCGCACAAAAAGGCACGTCAGGGAATATAAAATAATTAGGTGTTTTTGTAAGGGAAATCTTTACTCTTAAACGGAAATAAAAAAAAATCTGCTAGGCTCCTAGGTTCTACCTTTTAAGATTGTCCAATAAAAAGACCCGAATTTTCATACGCCGGCCAAATCACAATTTGCATGCCCCCATGGGCTTTAAAAACAATTTGCAAATGGGAAAGACACTTTGGAAACATCCAATCAGTTTGAATATGCTTCATGAATGTCTGAATGAACGAGCAAATTTTTAAACAGTATTTAATTACTAATATTTTTCGATGTGGTGGTGGTGGGGGGTGGTGGGGGGTGGCTGGGGGGGGGGGCGCTAGACAGAAGATATATCAGAAGTGGCGCAATAAAACCGACAGCGGGCGCAATAATTTTGATTAGGGTTTCAAACATTTCTACGCGAGTCGTTAATTTGTGCCCCCACAATTTTTTTGTAAAAAACGAGACCGTCTAGTTTAAAAATCGGTGGAATCGTGCGAATATAGCCGAGGATCATCTCCCTAGCTTTTGGGCTAATATCTAAGAGCAGATTTGATAAAATTAGGGTCCAAATATGGGTCCTATTTGCGCGAGAAAATGTAGGGATGCCATTGGTAACTTTGGCAGCTCAGCATTACCGGCAGGCTTCAACCGCATTACGGATACACTCTCGCAAAATGTGGTTCGGCAGCTTTCTATACAAAAACCTCGTTGGATCGGGGTTTTGTGCGTAAACCTTATCAGTCAGCCGATCACGCTAAATTGACTTCGGCCAAACCGCAAGTCCCATCATAAGGAATAAGTTAACCGAACCAATTTTGTTCAAAGAGTGTGTCTCTAATGTTAAACGTGTACAATTTTTAACGTTAACAACTTTGTTTACAACCTTACGGCGCGATAGCTATTTGAAATAAATGAATGTAATTATGTCATGAGTTTTAACATTAAGAAGATTGTGAAACGTTCACATGCAAACAGGGGTATCAATACATATACAATTAATGATTAAATTTCAAGCTTCAATAACTTATCAAAGAGTAACACAATTGAAACATTTTCATGAATGATGCGAAGATCGACAGAGCAAAAATAGCCTTGGTTTAAATATAACGATTAGATTTAAACAGTTCAAGAGGTTATAGTGCTGGTGGGCCTGCATATCGAAGAGTACAAACACCCAAGATTGTTTCATGCGGAATAATACAAATTCAAATTCAAATATGGATTTGATATCTGGTCAGCGAACTAAGGAGTAAACTTCTAAAATCTGATGGCATCTGAACTGTTCTTACTGTGGTAAAAGAATAAACAAGCTGATTTCAAAAGCATATGCAGCTCATCCACTCGAGGTTTTGAGTCGCATGTACAATGCGCGGATCGCAAAATAAACCTGCCTTGTACTAGGCGTATACTTGGTGCAAGAAAAGAAAGAAGTTATTGAGAAGAAAATTGACGTTTAACCCGCTACTTTAGGGACATACCGCGGCCCTGGGAAAAAAGGATAAGTAAGATACGGATGACATCCAGAAAAATGGAAAATTGCGCCTGTAACACATTCCAGAAAAATGTTCCCTTTTAGGCCCTAGCGTTTTTGTCTAGAACGCTATAATTTGATATTATGAATGGTAATTGGGTTTGGTGAAAATTAGTCAGCGTACCATACTATCACACAGTTGAAAACGCTCTCCCTGTATTATTTTCTAAATTTCAACCAACATAGAATTTGATTTTAAAGTGCTGAGTTAAAATAAGACATCTAAACAAACTAACTAAAAATTCCACATTTATGCATGTTAAAGTCACAAATTTTGAATTATTTGTGGTTTTGAAAGTAAATGACAGGCGTATTCCCCCCCCCCCGATGCAAAGGCAACCCCAAAATATAACGTATTGTTACAGACCTTTGTCATCCGAGCGGTTTTACCGATGCATCCCCCTGGCCAATCAGCACCGGTCTGTCAGTGGCGACAGTGCTGATTCCAATCTCCCTTAGTGCTGATTAGCATTACTCACACTATCTCACTTACACTAATTAGTTGTCCTAAAACCCCGCCCCCTTTTTAAAATGTGATTGGATTGTTCGACCTTTCCCTTGCCTTATCACTGATTGGCTGCAAGTTTCGTGGAGCGCGGTCACTGTACTGTTGAGTCACAAGAGGGCGCACTCATTTTCCACCGGTGGAAAATGGGAGCGACTCGCAGAGAAACATACATGCGCAGTCTAGTAGGAGCCGTCCACGGCGCTTACAGGGTGCAACCCTGCAAAAAAAAATCCCATAGACACCAGTGCTAAATGCGCATACTTCAAATTAAAAAAAAAATTACTCAGAACTCTCACAGGTATTCAAGTTGCACAGACAAAATGATGATCAATGTGTCATCTTTCCTTTTTTTTTTTTTTTTGGTGGAATGACCATTGACTTTTCGAGATATTCTCACCCAAAGAATACGACCCCTATTTTCTTCAAAGCGGAAAAGTAGCCCTCCATAACATGGTAAAATAGTGCCACTTTCGAGCCCAATATCATCCAAAATGCTCAGAATTGGAAGCCCCGAGTCCGGAGGTTCATTGCCATACCTCTTCAATTCCTTCCTGTTATGGCTCTCGGAACTTATGCTTATGAATATATGGAAACTGATAAGTTGCCTGACGTGACGTGAAAGAGAAATATCGTGCGAAAAACTGACCTCTCCCTTCCGAAAATCTATGCGAACTAGTGAAACTCGGTGTACTCGACCATCGGATAAAAAGTTTTGAAATCATTTTGTGGCTGTCGTTTGGTGAAAACATATCTCAACAACAGCTAATATCAATTATGCTTTTGTCACTAAAAGGGGTCTTCATGGTAGCTTTTATAGCGTGCCCGTATCGATCTACTTAAAATCAAGGCCAGTATTGTAAAAGTTTATTCTGCTCCCCTCCGACCCCCCGTAAATCTGCCCCGGACAGATTTACTTAGAGTCGTCCATTGCGTCGACTCTATAAATCTGCCCGGGGACAGGTTAACCTTTTAAATGTTGTCCCCAAAGGGGGGATCAAGAACACAATTTCCTTTTTTTTCCGGGGGGGGGGGGGGGGGACTTGGGCCCCCCAAAAAGTGGGTCCCAAACATTACGGGATGGGGTTCCGGGAATTTTTTGTGGATTGTAGATGCTCTGTGGTGCGATCTGAGACCATTTCTGACCACTTTAACTAAATCGTTTTGAGGAAAAGATGGTGGTGTACGCAGTGCCTGCCTGTTTTGCTAGGTCACTTAAAAAAGAAGAAGTTGGGTTCGGTTTTTTTTGGGGGGGGGATGACCCCCGTTGCCCCCCCTCCCGATCAACCCTTGTGTCCCTCTCCAGGGTATGTACCCCCCCCCCCCACCGGAAAATGTGTCCCCTCTATAGATATAGCAGGTGTATCCCAAGAATGCATGGCAATTATGCTTACCTGTGTCTGGTACAGCGATCCCAGCCAAACAACCCACACGACGTTGAGTAGCGCTGAGAGCATCCGTATCCACATACATCTCCCCTTTAAAAACACACAAGGGGAACACATATAAGCACAAGTCAGATTTGACTACATACCAGTTAAATTTGACTAGCTATTCAGGGTCAGCTGGGTGCAACTGAAAATCAGTCAATCTGACTATATTTTTCCAATCAGTATTATTGACTATATTACTTAGGAAAAAGTTATGCGAATAGCTAAAATTGGAATCAAATCCAACTGCTTTTTCTAGTCATATCATGAAACTTTGCATGTTTTAACTAAATTCCTATTCGATTTTCAGTAAACTATATAGGAAAATCAGTCAATATTTTGACTGAGTTGTTTTCAGCGAGTAGTCCTAAAGTTAGTCTAAAGCCCTGTTCATACTTCATGCGAATGCAAAGCGAGTTTGACGTCATTAACATTCGCTGCGAAATTATGTTCAACTTCGGAATTTGCACAAATTCACGTTCGCTTTCGCGCCGAGTATAAGTAATCGGTCTTTAGGCCGAAAAGAAATAGTTCTGCTTCCGGTTTCCCTACCTACACTATTCTGACAGCCCCTACCCTTATTGTTTTATGGGGAAAATGAGAAGAAAAACCCAAAACCATCAATTTCTACCTTTTACTCTTGACTACACGCAGATGCCTCCATGATCGTACATTAAAAAAAAGTGACCAACAAAAAATAAGAATCCCTACCTACCTGTACCTGTTTTCGAATGTCATGTAATGGGAAGCAGAACTATTTATTTTTGGCCTTTCCGGGGTCTTCAACACTGAACACTGGCGAAAGGAAGATATACATGCAAAATACAAACTCTAAAATATTCGTACTTGCTTTCAGAATGTACGCACATTTATAGGACATTTTGAATGACTAGTACATCCTCAGTTACAATTTCAACAATATAGTACTAGTACCATGTGTTTCTCAAACCAACATTTTTCGATTCATTCATTGGGTATTTAAGCAAAATAATCATTTCTCACGTTTCTCTGTGTTATTATTTTACAACATAGTCAATCTCCTCAAAATTAGAAAATCTGACTGGAATTAATCTGGACTTGAGACGATATAAAAAGCTAAAAGAGGATTTTATTGTGGATTATAATCGCCTCATTATTATCACACCGGACGGTTTGATTTCATGGGGGGGGGGGCGTACTCTGAATAAAATATTCAGTGACACTTACTGTGAGAGTGGTAAACTGACAGCCAGAAGGATTACAAAACAGCCGACGAAAATCATGATGTTCTCCAGTAAGATGGCAAAGCAGAGTCGATTCGTCCTGAAATAACCATAATATTCCCGTCTAATTTCACAACTTTTCACTCAATCAGACAAAATGCTCATCCCATTTCAAGAAGTCAAGTTCAGAGATCCGGGCACGAATACAGTTCCAATACGCAGTTAGAACATTTAATTCCGCGTACTTTTCCAATAATCCAGTTGTCAAAATTGTCCATGCAAGCAAATCCCATTTTGTTGGTTTTCGAGTTCGCATTGAATTCGCGTATCAATTTACAACAAGAGTTCAATAGAACTACAGAGTACAGAAGTCAAGTAAGTTTGATACTTACATTTCACTAAACGTCAATTGTATTGGCGATGAGAAAATCAGTTTAATGTTAAGAAATTGATATGATTGTTATTATATCTTTTATTTATAGATGACATTGTATCTACACGTATGCGCCAATTAACAAACTGGTTTGATCTTTATTACATATAATTTTTTAAAAAGTCATATTGCCCCTTCTCTTACTTAGACGCTTTATACCTTTGACAGTTTTGTTATGCATATTTCATATTTCCTACTCAAGCATTCGTGGTTTGCTTTGAAATAGCCATACATTACTTTATAAGTCTTTCTTAAAAGTCATGTTTTGCTTTTCTTGAACATAACTGAGTTCCTTTTGTAAAATTTAAATCGAATTTCCATGCGATTTTTTTTAAAGCTTTGCATAACCGACTGAGCAAGGTATGAAACTGGACAGGAAAACCTAAAGTTAATTTTGTCGAAAAAAATAAAATCTACAAAATATATCAGCACGTATATTATCCTGCATATTATTTAGTCCTAAACAATACTAGCAATAATTCTTACAATAAAAATACGCACGAAAAAGAAGGGAATACTTGAGGATTTTTTACCTGTAGTAGGTCAGGCGGGCTCGTTGTCCGGCAACTTCTGCTGGTGTTTCATCGTTACATGAGAACAGGCGTCAGTATAGCCCCATAGGGCTTACATGATCTGCCCAGCGAGACTGCACTCTGTACCGGTCTTTTTTTGTCTGTGCGTTCTTTTGTTCCATTCGCTGAAGCAACATGCGCAGTACGGTCAAAGGTGATGCAAACATGGAATGTGGAGATTCCCTTTTCCGTGGCCGGTCGCACGCTTTGTTATATTTTTAATTCACAATCCCGCGTTGGCACTACTGGTATATTAGGTGACCCTCTCGTACAACTTGTAAGAGTGAACCGTGTTCAAACGTGTAGTGTGTCGTTAACTCGCCATCACTACGGACTTCAAGATAAATATTTTAGGCAAAATTCAAACAATGGTTGTGTCCAAAAAAAATATTTTTTTACATATGGAATTTGCGTCAGGAAGATTTTACATTGGATTTTGTCCTCCACCCACGTATTTTTGTAGACCTTTAGGCCTTGCGAAGAAAAATATAAAATGTTCGTCTAAGTTCGCAAATTCAAACGTTGGTTTACGAACTTCAATTTTTCAGATATTGAAGGACACGCCACGCTATCATAAATAGCGTTGTTTTTCAAGGATGTTCAACATCAAGTGTAATTGTTGTCTAATTTTTGAATTATGAAAGCGTATGAAGCGTATTGCTGTCACGTCCTATTAAAAGAAATCACACAATTTTATGAAACGTTGTTCCGTCATAATGACACGGGTTTTTCAATATACGGAGCCCACTGGAGAACGTCTGAATAATAGATTTCCTCATCCAAAGTTTATGCTAGACGCAATATCTGTAACGACACAAGTGCTACTGATTGATCGACAGCCACCAGCTGACGATTTTGATTCAATTGTCAGCTGTTATGGATCCCTACATACATCGTTTCAATTTCAAAGACAAATTCGGGCACATTTTGTAAAGGCAACTAAAAAAAGAACCGTACTCCCAACCTCGGCCCCAGGGTGTTGAGCAGTACGCGCCCACCACTGTCGTACTATTGGAAACGAGGCTGAAATATAGTAAGCACTGGGGGCGAGGTTGCTGTACTCCAACCTTACAGCATGCATGTGCGCCATGTTGTTTTTAATCAGCGCACACCCCTTAATCGGTCACAATCCAGAGATCCAGAGACGGGTTTGCTTGCTTTACAGATATCACATAATCAGCACGCGTGACAACCGTATTTACATGCTCACCTGTATCTTGCACAGCGCTTCCAGCCAAACAATCCACACTTCGTTGAGTAGCGCTGAGGGCATCCGTATTCACAGACAGTTCCCCTTGTATACAATTTATAACGTCATTTTCAGTCAATTATGGTTATCACATTTTTATCACAAATATTATACCTTTGAATATTTGTATAGATAGAAGTTTCCAGAAAGCAGTTGAAACACTGGCTTAAATGTGGTCTAACAACACTGGTGAAGAGGAAATACAACAAAACTTTATTTGTCCATTTTTTTATTTTCAGAAATACTGAGATTTGCGTACAGCAAAATGAAAAGAAAAATAGTGAGGATATTTTAGTAAATCCATGTGTAATCTTGTAACTTCAGTACACTCATCTTCTGAGCGGCAATGTTTTGTTACAATACGAATTTCTAACACCACTCTTTTGCAACTTTGAGCCGACGCAACTCTGTTAATTACGGTTTGTAATTCGGTTAATTATTTTAAGGTTTTCGTCAAGAATGTCTCACTTTAAATTCTCCTTACTTTAAACACCATTGCTAATTCCACTGAAACAAAATCGAATCGCTGTGATATTTAAGAAAATATCACCGCATATATAATGACCAACCAATGATGTACAGCCGCTGTGGAAGTGGGGTTGACAATAATTCCAGAGTCTTACATTTGATCGAGAAAATTATCAGAATTTTCTTCGCACTTGGGACGGAACAACTTACTGTGATTGTGGTAAATGGGCAGCCAAGATGATGACGATAACACAGCCGAAGGAAAGCATGGTTTATCTCCAGATGCGGGAAACCAAAATCGAATCCTCTGAAAAGATTAACACATAATACCACTCAAAAGGTGATTGCGTGCAACAGTTCTGGAAATTTGAATTCTTGGGGTCGTTGGGCTCAGACTTGACAGTCTCTCCCACGGAAGGAGTGTATTTCTTTTTCACGAAGAAAGTTCACCCAGATCTACTTCAAACTGGCTCAAATGTTTTAGTGCAGAATTCATCATTTTGCTGATGGTTATTACTGAGACACTAGCTCACACATGCTAAAACAAAGTTGTATACAGACTAGGCCTATACAGGTCGTGTACTGCCTTTTTTTGTTCACACGGCTGAACTTGTGAGCGTCTCGAGTAAAGACCAGCAGATCTGTATTTAACATCAAGAGTGAAAGTAAATTGATCAAATGATAGCACACACATATCCCACATCCGTTATGCGACTATTATGTTTATTTCCTGGATGTGTTTTGTATATTCGTTGGTGTCTAATAGTTTTGATATAGTGCTGTTGATATGACATTATGCTAAATACCTTAATGACTTTATGCACGAGATCGGGAGCTGCAAACTACATGTATAATACAAAGTAAAAGCAGAACTAACTTCAATATGGGAACTTGGGAACTGAAATTCCACTGAGCTGTTTGTTTCACACTTCCTCTTCCTTACAAGTGCTGAAGATAATCGCACTGCCAGAAACACCGGGGCGAACCCCTTCTCTTATCGATGTACTGGGTTCTTTAACGTGCATTATTATACAACACACGGGACCTACGGCTTTACGTCCCATCCGAAGGACGAAGCAAGTGCCTTGCTGGCACAAGTGGCCGGGCCCGGGCTCGAACCCACGTCACTGTTGCCTCTGAAACACCAGAGCATTAGTGCACTGTTTTTAACCGATAGGCCATGGCACTTTTCAAGTGCTGTACAATTCAAGTAGGCCTGGACTACTGCCAACCGAAACCTTATCCCCGGAGCTGGTAAGCAGAAAAGGACTTCTAATAAAGTGAAGTGAAAGAGATTACATTATGTAATCTGATGCAAAGCAGATTCATGAAATTTCGGCAGGTGTCGGTTTAAGAACGTCATGTGTTTGTTCCCATGACAGCTCAGTCTATACTTCAACACAATTGCGGATCGGCACCCCCCCCCCCCACCCCGACAGACAAGTGCCACCAGTAATTATTTACATAATAGAAACAAGACAAGGCAAGACACGCCTAGCAGGTCCCAGAGGGCACACAATTATGTTCAATCGGTTCAAAATGATTGTTTACTGCAAGTCATTTAAGGTGCGATTCCAGCTTGAGCTCAGAGGGGAGGGGGGGGGGGTGTAGCAGGCATGTACTTTTTCCTGTATGATTAGACCCCCTAAACGGCCCACCCCCGTAGATCCGCCACGTGCCTTTCATGCATACTATATACACAGTGTCGTGGCAAATTTAGCCCAGTTTTGGTAATGGGGTATCCTTAGTTGGCCAATGTCAGTGATAAAGCGATTCAGTCGAAGACGACTATCCTGGACCTTATTTGAGAGCAATGGCCTGAATTACGTCATCACTCAATATTGAAAAAAATCTCGATTCACTGCTTCAAACATCGGTATTTTTATGTGTTGACTGAACATGTAATATATAACACCCCCAGCCACCCCCCAGCCCCCAGCACCCCAGTCAATTCCCAGCCCCTAGCCAATCCCAGCCCCAGCCAACCCCCCAAGCCCCCGCCCAGCCCCCCCCCCCCGCCACCCCCCACCACCACACCCCCCCCCCAAAAAAAAAACCCTCCCCCCCCCCCCCCCCCCCCCCCCCCCCAAAAGAAGGTATCTTGGACTTCAACACCCCAGCCAAACCCCCTTTTGAAAAATCCCGGATCTGCAACAGCATCCTCAAATCTTTGGGAGGAATTGATCATAATACAAATAGCGACCGACAGACCCTTGTAATAAAGATTATCTTTGTTAGTTAATTGGAAAAATGTTGGGAGGAACATGTCCGCAAGAAAAAAAATATTGCCATCTGAAAACTCTCGTTGCAAATGTGCATGACGAATATTCCCCATTGTGCGCTGAAAATAATTTATTGTGCAGGTCATGTACAAATGAATGCCGTTCAGCCGTAATGTATGCGCCTGCGTAGTTCCCGGGAATACGAGGCACGCTTCGTGTAGTCCATTAGACGTGAAATTTAACTGATACTGCATGAGCAGACCAACTTCCTGATAAAGTTTGTGCCGGATTATCGACCAAGACGGTGGGTAAGTACAAATAATTATGTTCAACTTCTACTGTAACGAAAACGTTATTTGGACTGAAAACAAACATAGATGTCAAGTGGATTCCTTTTTTTTTCTGAGCCGTATACGTCAATGTGTCTGCTACTGTATAGCTGTAGTCATACAACTGGTTTTCTCGTCATTTCATCTAAAGCTTTTTTTCTATGTAAATATATTCGAATCGTGTAAATTATCAGAATATTGTGGTGGTGAGAAATGTTGGAACCAACCAAATAAATCTATTGTGTTCTGTTAAAAACTCTTTTTTTTTTAATAGTTTGGCATTTTTCTGTTTGTCACATATGTCCATGGTTACCATGCTACCAGATTTTATTACTTTATTATTCCCACTACATTCTTGTATAATGTTGGTGTCAATAGGTCTATACTTGGCCTACACAAGTTTTAGCGAAACTAAAGTCTCAGTCCAATGAGGGCACGTGAATTAAATTTTAAAGGGAATATACAACATTTGCAAACAGCGAAAAATAAAACTACCAAGTTTTTACGAATTACCTTACAAGGATGTTGGTAATAACAGTCTAAAGTATCCTGTAAAATTATGGCACCTGGTGTCGGGTCATTTTCAAGAAAATTGTATTTTTGTATACATTTCCAACGGTGGTCGGCCAACCACTGTTGGAAAAACCTAACTATTTTTCAACTACTGCTCCCAATTTACAATTGTTTTTTCAGTCCAAATGTTGTTTGCTATTGGTTAAATGTTCATGAACGGGTGCAGGCCAGCTAGACTGGTTCCCTTATCTTACAATTTTCCGACATCTATAATTGATCCATTTTATCTTTAGTGGAGTCAT